ACAGGACATGTCTCCAGAAATTAAAGTCTTTGTCCCTGTGTGCATTTGCAAACTGTAATCTGGCTTTCTAAAGTTGTTTTTGGACAAATGGCTTCTTTGTCTCTGCGTATCCTTTCAGCTCATGTCGGTACACGACTCGTTTCACTGTGGATAATAACTCTCTTACCAGCTTCAGCAGCATCTTCACAAGGTCTTTTGCTTTTGTTCTGGGGTTGATACGCACATTTCACACCAAAACACTTCATCTCTGGGATCCAGAACCCGTCACCTTCCTGAGCGGTATGATGACTGGATATTCCCATGGTCTTTGTACTTGCATTTAATTATTTGAACACATGAACGTGGAACCTTCAGGCATCTGGAAATTGTATCCAATGATGAACCAGACTTGTGGAGGTCCACAGTTCTCTTCCTGATTTCTTTAGATTTTCTTATGTTGTCACAAAAGGAAGTAGTGTGTTTGAGGTGTGCCTCCAATTAACTCAAAGGTTGTCAATTAACCTATCAAAAGCTTCCAAAGCCATGACATCATCATCTGGGCTTTCCCAAATAGTTTGAAGGCCAAATAAGCTTAGTGTAATCTCTGACTGAAAAAAAAACAAAAACACTTTTCTCATTCATTGTTCTGGTGTTTAGCAAACAGAAATACGTTTGCTATCCTAACTGACCTTAAACAGGAAAAGTTTAGTGTAATTCAATGTCAGATAGTGAGAAAAAAAAAATTCTATATCTTTTTATATAGTGTGTGTAAACTTCTGGTTTCAACTGTATGTGCCATATAGATAATGTTTTTTGTTCAGTAGTTTGCTTTATGAATAAACGCCTTTAAAAGTAGTGATATTCAATCACCTGCAGCTGTACCTTGTTCATCGTGATTTGTGCATTGCCACTGTGAATATGAAGCATCTTTGTGTCTAAGCACATCCTCACAGAGCTGCTAGCATCGCCATAGACTGGGTTGTAAGGACATAGTGCAATAGTACATAGTGCACAAGATCACAAACTTGTATACTATCTTTAACAATAAAATAATATTACTCCCTAAACATGATGACATTTGATCCATTTCCAGGTTGTAAAATTTCAAACTGTCATAATGACCTGTAAATTGCCAAAGTCCTCTCACACTGCTTCACTTGACACAGGGAAGATTCACTGTAGTGCAGTGACTTGTAGCGTAAAGTTAATGTCCACACACACAATCAGTGTCAAAACAGTCAGCAGCTGTGCATTATTTGAAATATCTTCTCTGGAAGAACAACATAAGGACAATGTTGGATGTGACACTGTAGCACACGTGGCCCTCGTGCAGAGGAAATCTCAGCAGGCAAAGGGGAAATGGGAATCAGTGAATGGAAACAGGAAGGGCTCATAACTTCAAGTCAAAAACAAATGCAGCACTATCTGAGCAATTTTATAGTTCAATATCCAAGCCAATTGGATAGCTCCTGATGAAACAAATGGGAACATTTGTTTTGAATTTCCAAGTGAATCACACTATAAAAGTGATTTACTAAAAGGGATTTATGGTGCAGCCTTCAATAGTCTTTTTTCCACATTCAACTGTTCTCTTCTGGACTAAGATGGTTCTGAGTGGAAACATTTCCAAACACAATACAGCTCTGAGCTGCTCAGTGTCTGTGAATAAGCTGCAGAATGCAATGCAATTTGTATCTCTTTCTACAAATTCTGGTGAATTACAGCCAGGCTGCTCAAGTGACTTAAGCAATCCAAATCTTTTTGACTCCACATCAACTGAAAGTAAATAAGCTCAGCCGCCAATCAAACACAAGTCCAAATAGCGACATATTACTGCAGATTAGCCACATAGTTGAATGGATATAGTAGACTGACTTAAAAACTAGGCTTGCAGAAGTAAACAGCTCTTCCTAGTGAGACAAATCACAAACTGGAAACACACCATTTACTTTGGCAAATAATAAAACTAGCTGCTTTCATTTTTTCACAGCATATTTTAGACACATTGTCCAAGAGAGGTGGTTTCCACACTGAACAGCTGCTGTTGTGCAGTAGATTCAGAACAAGCAACCAGAACTGCTCATTTTTGCACACTTTATTACACTGTAAACTTAAATTTAAATTAATATTTTTGTAGTCTAACACTGTAAACTCTTTAGCACTTTAAGCTGTGGTCAGGAGCATCAACTTGTGGCTAATGAATGGAAAGGACATAGCAAAGAAGTTTTCTGTGTATATGAGGTTCTTCTGAGTGTTTCCAGGAGCACAGTGGCCTCAAGAATTATGAAATGGAAAAAGTTTGGGACTTAAAATTGGATGCCAGATCAAAATGGGTGAGAACTGAGTGATGAATGCAGCAAAAACATAAAGGTCCTCAAAGAAAACCACCTCCACAGGGCTTAGCCCAAGGGCCATGATTCACCTTTTAGCATCGCAATGAGTCTGAGCACACAGTCAACATGGTGCTGGAGTGGCTTTGGTAGGAGGCTCTGTCTGTCTTTGAGTGGCCCAGCCAAAAACCAGGCTTAAATCTCCCATAGGACATCTATGGAGAGAACTGAAGATTGCAGCTAAATTCACACCTTTCCCATCCACACTGATGGGCAAGAGGATCTGTCAGGGGGAATGGGAACTGTCTAAATCCAGGTGTGCAAAGCTTTTAGATCTATAAAGGCTCAAAGCTGTAATTGCTGCAAGAGGAGCAAGAGTTTCTTTAGTCTTACAAAGAAAAAAAAATTCTTTTTCTTTGTCATTATAGTTTACTGAGTGGTGATTAATATGCAAAATGAAAATGTGATCCGTTTTAATTTAAATCTATAGCAAATTAAAGTGTGCAAAAATAAAGCAGTGTGACTACTTTATGAATCTGCTATATTAACTGCACTGATGTTAGGAGAGACTTTGAAAAGGATAAACTAAGAAATCTAGGGCAATTGTACCCAGCGTATCTAACTCTGATTTTCATTTCGGTGCAAACATATCCCCCAGCGTGTCATGAATCTCTCCAAATAAACTTTATGCTCACATGATGTAAATACATTTATTGAAAACACAAACACTTTATCACACAGGAGAAAAAAAAAATTAATGGCACATGTTTTTTTTCCAACAGAGCATGAAAAAAAGGCAGTCTGCTCAACAATTTTTCTTGGATATGATGAATACAAACTCACTGACAACATTTTTGGATAACGGTTTAGATACTGTTGTGCATTTGCTATAAGTTCGATGGTGAAGAGGAGCGATAGTCACAGAGAACTGCTTCATGTCCTGTTGTCGGATTACTTTATAAAAACAAACTACAGCTATATTAATAAATGCATGACCAGAGTTCTTTAAAAAAAAAAAAAAAGGTAAAAAATAATAAATAAATATGAGACGCTACATCACCTTCACCTATATCACCTTAGCGGAGTAACAAAAGATGTTTCAAACTCAACTGGGATGACAGATTGACAAGAAGATTCAACGTCAAGGAGCGAGGCATCGAACTGGAATGAGCATCTACTTAACGTCGCTGTGAATCACAATCCATCACATCAGTTGAACTTGGTCCAATTATCTAGGTCAAAAAACAGCAAAAGACACGCTTAAAATTCATCCACAGCTGAAATAAAGTCCAACACTGTTGAAAATGTGACACCTAGAACTGCTAATAAGTGAATATTAAGGTTAGGTTTTGAGAATTTGTCTAATTGATGTAAAATTTGGTAAAGTTTGAAAAAACATTGCAACTGCTGTTGTTTACATTTTACTGACTATCAATAATGATGAAAAGTAATTGGTCTTCACCTCTAAATTCAACTGAAATCACAAAAACCCTTTTATCCACGAGAAGCAACTCTCACCTGTCCAAACGGTTCACCACGTCTCTCACAGTGTTGATGAGATTCTCGTGTTCTTGGGGGTTACTGACAATGACGCTGTGCAGCTTCTTCATGTAGGAGTCAATGGTTTCAAGACTGGGCGTCTCTCCGCTGCCTGCAAGGGCAATAAGTACAGCATGTCAGTGTGTGAAGAAGAAGAAACATTTAAATGCTTTGCTCATCAGGTGAAATATGCTCATTGGGCAGCACAAACTCTTCCAAGTTTTACATTTCATTTGCTGCACAGTGTGTCTCCCAACTGGGGGTAAGAAGCACCATTAGGGTGTAATTGAAATCTTTCAACTTTTAACAAACCTGATGAGTTTGTGAAGTTTTATTTGTTTCCTACTACCCACAGGGTGTTGATAGGCTTTACAAAAAATTGTTATCAACCTTTAAGTCTACACTGCAGGGATGACCACTGAACATCAAAGGCAAACAGCACGAACAGACCAATCAGAACATGAATGATTTAAACACTACAACACCAGCCACTACATATACAGCTGATGTTTTGAGTTTGAGCAACATCACTGTGAGAATGTTCAATACTTCAGACAGTGTCTGGCGTCAACCAGGCATGGGGTAAGGTGTTTTACTTTTTATCCCAATCATTTTCATCATTAAAATGTGCATCAGAACATGGTGTTAGTCAAATTTAGGGGGGTAACAGTAAATGTATTCCTTCCAAATCCTTTAGTTTAGTATCACTTCTGCTTGGTAGACCTTTTTTTAAAATAAATTATTATTGTTGCCTTTATTCTTCAGGATAGTGAGAGACTGAGACAGGAAAGGGGGAGAAGAGAGGGGGAATGAGGACCTGCAGCAAAGGTTCGTGAGCGGGATTTGAACACACGACTGCTGTGTAGGGGAACAATAGCCTCTGTTTATGGGTCGCCCGCTCAACGAGGGGAGCTATAGGTGTGCCCAATCGGTAGACCATATATATGTCTACAAAAATTTGCTCTTGGACTGGAAATTCTCAAGAGTGCGTTCCATCCAGAAACTTTGGCAGTCCTCTATCAGCTTTAGCATGCTAGTAAGGTTAGATTTTAAAGCTGGGCAGCTGCTGTGTTATTAGTTTTGTATGATTAGTTATCTCAAATGACTTAATGTTAACACACACAAAGCCCCAAATCTGTTTTGTTAACTCAAACAAGATGGCTGGCTCCTTCATGTGGACAAAAAAAGTGCAATTTCAAAACTTAAATAACATTTCGGGTTTTAATGGTTAATTTAAGTCAATTGTGAGTATGTTGTAGGAATCTTGCTTTACTTACTAAACAGCTCAGTGTGTTATATTAAGAGTTATGGCCAGTGGCAGACTGGTGAATGTTCCTAAATAAATGACAAAAATGTTATTTAATGCATTTCTATCATCCCAAAAGACAGACTATACTGTCAGCTAAAAATCAAAGTACATATAGAACTCTGGCTTTTCTGTACTTTTAACCCCCTTGTGAAAACTATAATACTATAAGATGGAAAAATAAAATCTAGAAATATGAAAATAAATAATATTGAGCATGTGGTATCTCAAGTGACTTCTGTCAACCTTGAAAAATTAAGCTAATTATTGAAAAAAAAGAAAAAAAAGAACAATTACAGATAAAACCACAACGGCTGCCATCTGTAAACTCAGAAGCAAACATGTTTTGACTCAGACGAAGCCTTGATGTTGCCAGTTAATAATGTTTTGACACTTTCGCCACAAGAGAAACTACCAGCGAGCTTCCCTGAGGCCAGATCTAGGTGGGTTTTGCAATCATCTTTCATTGTGAAGCTCTTATGAAATAATTCCACAGGTGTTATGTCAATTTCTGCTGTTTGCAGAGTCGGTGTCTCTGTTGTGCGAGAAAGAAACTCCAATAGGCGTGGAAGAAAATTGCAAGAGAAATCTTGTGGGTGTGTACTCAGCGTAGAGTCTGAATGTGTGTAAAACAAGTACAAACAAAGAGAGAACACATTTCGTACATTTAAGTAAGAACAGGTTAAAATTAGGAAGGACTCACAGGCGGACCAGTCCCTAATAGAACAGTAGGTGGGTGCTGCTTAAATGTGTGGACAGAGGGCGAGAGATGCTGGAGCTCAAAGCACAGTAAATACACTGAGGATGTACGCCTACATTATTATGTAATATCTTACTACATAGTTTGTTCTTGTGTCTAGGGATGAATTACTGGAATAGGATGTCAAGTCAATACCAATTTATAATGTAAACTGATCAATATGAGCACACTTTAAGCCAAAAAGCCACAGTGGATGCTATTTTTAGACACACAAATGAATGTTGATTTGAAAAGTATATTTCATTTTTAGCTCAAAGTTTGTATGGTTGTAATGAATGAGACAAAAGCGCTATTAGGAAAAAATTAAGAAACTGAGGAGGCTGCAGAAATGCCATGAAGGTCAGCGATTACACCTTTATTGAATTTTGTTTTCATTTGTGCTTTAAAAGGAAGAAAAACAGCAGATAAGTTTGCCATATCTTGTGAGGACATAGAACTGAGAACAATAAGACTTCAGAATCAATTAACTTTTTGTATGGATTTTTTTCTGTTGCGCATTTGTAACAGGGTGTGCCACTGTATGAAGTGATACCGGCTGTTCTCACCTGGCAGAGGTACAGTGGAGAAACTGGAGGTGAGCGCCTGGCGCAGGGTCTCCAGGTGCTGGTGGAGGAGCCCATTGCGTCCCCGCTCTTGCATGACATCGCCTTCCAGCCGTTCGACCGCCCCGCGCATGCTCTCCACGTGCTTCTGCAGGGCTGCGTTACGCTCCTCATACTCCATGTTGGTCTTGCGCAGCTGCCGCATCTCGGCTTCGCGCGCTGTTGAGAAAAACGAAGAAAAGAGACGCGGCTGTAGATCAGAGGAGAGCTCCGGGGAGATGATACAGCCAGGCGCAGGAGTTCGGTGCCGTGATCAATTTTTAATTTGCTCGGAGAGTTCAAGACGTCAGTGAGTTCGGCGGACTGAGGGAACTATTTTGGGAAGTTCTTATAAGGTAGCAGAGGAATGTGTTTAGAAACACTCAGACAAATGGAGGTTTAAAAAAGCCCGAGCACACAAAGTACAAAGTATTTCTCAACAAGACGGCCAGCTGTGTTCGGGTTCTTTACCTTTGCTGTGGTTGAGAAACTCCTCTGTGAAGATTGGTATGTCAAACACGGTTCTGTCCTTTCCCTCTGCATCCTTCTGTTGAAAGCCAGAGACAGTAAGAGAGAGGCAGATAAGCTGCACAGTGAAAACATTTGGCCACACAGACTGACAGCGAGGGGTGGTCATTTATCTAGCGAGGCTGTGGGTGGGTAATTGATTTCATACCTGGCCACAGGGAAAATGCAGTGATACAGTTTAAGAAATGAGGAGGTAGAGGTAATTTCATCACTGGTGCCTCAACGATATCAAAGGCTCTAAAATGGTTTGCAATAAATATGCAATAAAAATGTGTTTCAAAACAGAAAACACAAGCTACGGCTCAGGTTTCAGTCTCTCCACTGGAAGAACGCATCATCATTCCTCATGTCTTAACGTAATTGTATCAGTACTGAATCCCACGCCCTTTAAACCCGAGAGGGAAAACACTGGTGTCCCTGCAGGATTGCTGATCCCAATAAAGTCACCTTGGCTGTAGCCCTTCACATTATACTGTAGAACTTACAAAGGAAGCCTCTTAATTACATGCAAAACTTAACAAAAAATGAATTACACACTTAGTACAAGCATTTGGATCACAAACACAGCACCAAAGCGGATTAAGCCAGCTTTAGTGATGCAACAATAAGCACTTAATGTGTCGAGCAAGAGGAGGGCAAACACAACAGATTCAGAGTTCTGCGTGGAAAAAAGTAGTCTGGAATCATATTCTACAGTCAAGTCTGTTTTTGTTACATGTTTCGCAAACACGAGCAAGGAGAACATTTTGCACCAATGTGTTAAACAAAGGTGAATGTGAATAACTTTTTTCGTGTCACACACACTGAAATATGTTAAGACTGCTTCTTATTTTCTTATTTAATTTCTGTTCTACTCAACACAAGCAGATTGTTCTCACCTCTCTACACATTTCAACAATGCCGTAACGCATGCTGACTTAACATGTAAATCATTTGTGTCTTTCACGTTCCCTTACTCTTTATAAGTTATCTTGCTGCTCAATGACTTACAGATATACCTGTAAACCTCATGAGTCACGTCATTTTGATAATGTCTTGTTCTCTAAACAGGTTTTTGGAGCTTATACAACTGTGCTGAATGCTAGAAGAGGATCTGGACTTAGTTATGCATATTTACTTCTTACGATAAACTAACTGTTAGTGTGACAAAGCCAGAGAGAGTCACTGACCTCGTGAAGAGCCTCATTGGCTACCTGGTGTCCAACATCTGGAGAGGAAGGAAGGAATAAGAGAGAGACGACAGCAGATGATTCACTGTTTCTCTGGTGCAGCATGCCTTCACCACATCGTGAACTAATAGAATGAATAAAAGTAATCCAAAAAAAAATCCCCTCACTTGCACTTTATGTTATGAATCAACTGAAATGAGGCGGTGCATCCAGTTCTGTGGAAAAGTTTCTCACATTTGTTTGCCAGGGCAGAGCTGTTTGTGTGATTGACGTTTTTGAGATTTCAAAATGTAGGATTCATTGGAACAGATAATGCAAACCACATGTAGTTTTAGCAAAGTGATGGATTAAGTTGAACTATTCTCATAGCCTGTACTACAAGCTTAAAAAGTTGCCTTTACTTTAAATTTCCATTGACTGAGCAAACCCACAGTGAGTGACGACTTTTAACCAAATAATGAAAATGTTTCATTTATGCTGCTATTAAAATGACTAAATAGTAAGTATAAACATGTTCAGTGTGAGTAAAGATTTCCCATCCTTAGTGGTGTTTGCGGTACGGTCTATCTGATACTTTTGCATTATTTCTCTCTTTGTTCAAATGGACATCCTGTTTCAAATTAAGCAGCTACACAAATGAGCATCTGTAAACAGTTGCTCAGTGATATCAGACTCTTTCACTTTATGTTGCAGAAAAGCTCCACGTGATCAGTTGGTAATTTAAATTCCTTGCTCAGGGGCTTGGTAAGGGTATTTTTTTTAATAAGCCAATAGAGAGATTTAAAACTTCAATTTCTACATCTATACTTGTGTAAAAATGATTCTAAAAGTAAAAAGAAATGACAATGTTATGCCGACTACTTCCCTTACTGCATTGTATGACTTTAATTACAGTTTCAAGTTCATTTGAGTCATCCTGTCTCGACAAAGTTTGTCCATCAAACAATGACTGGCTTATCCAAATATCATCAAAGATAGGAAGTATCTCACTTGCCAACCGGTTTTTTCAGATAACTGGCTCTCAAAACGATGGCGGGCTTACTGCCAAACGTACTATTTTCAGCAGTTCCCTGCTGCTTTTTCTAACCAGAGCTCACCTCCCCTGTGCCTCTTGCCCTTCTGCTTCTCCTGGACCTTCCTGGTGAAATGTTTGTAGGCCTCTGTCTTCTGGTACTTCTCCAGCTCCCGCATGTAGCGCTCCTTATCTCGCTCTGCCTCGTCCAAGTATCGCTGCAGAGACAAGAAAGAAAGGTGAGAGGAGCAGGGCAGACTGAGCCAAAGGGGGAGCAAAATGAGATCTGGCAAAACAGGATGAAGGAGGATTGTGGGTGAGATGTCAAGACGAGTGTAATTATTCCTGTACTCCTGTATTATATTACTGTAATTATTCCTAATCGGGATTAGTTCCTTTCAAAAGACAAAATCAGTAATTTCCAATATTAATAACCCACGTTGACTGAATTCCTGTAATAAAAATGCATCTCATACCCTTCTCTTCTAATTTTATTAGAAGAGAAGGGCAAAAAGGCATCTTCAGTCAAAGATCTTGTCCCAGCAAAGCCGCTAATTGTAGCAAAGCTGTCGAGGCTCTATCCCACCTCTACATCTGAAAATAAAACATGCTCAGACTTTTAAAATCTTCTCTGGAAAGAAGATAAGGTATTCTTCTAAGGAATTTTGTAAAATAACTGGTGACGCATCGAGGCTGGAACTACATTAAATGCACAGTTAAAACTAGCTATCACAGATTTAGCGGCATAAATATACTACAACACTTTTAAATTAACTTTGGAGATTATAGTGTAACTTAAAGATTCAAAAAATGATTATGATGATTTTTCTTCTGCTGTATTTTTGGAATGGGTATCTAAGTTTTCCTGGCTGAGGCACAGTAGCATCGTTCACATATCTTTGCAGAGGAATGGAAATTCTTATTAAAATCCACCTGAACATGACTGTAATAATGCTACCGTCATTACAAGACAGCAAGTTTATCTGTCTCTTCCTGCTATTCACATCTCAGTTGAGGGTGGAACTAGGACACAATAGAAGATAGCATCCAACTATGCTGTCTGTGAAAGGATGTCAGACAGCTCCCAAACATGGCTATGTACAAGTCAGTGCTTTGTCAGCTCCAAAACACTGACACTATGGACTCTACGGGCTTTTGTTCTTTCACTGCTTTTGTGCACAGTAGAGAAAAAAAAAAAAGATGAAAGTCTCTGTCTGTTTCAGACATTGTTAAATCTGGCTGGGACTAGTCTTAAATGTTGGCATGCTGCAGATGAACATTTCAGTCCTGTCCTTTGGGCCACCACTGTTGTAATAACAGCAAGCCAAAAGAAACACTACCTTGTTGATCAAAAACTGAAACAGACTTTGCTGTTGGACACTCTTGCCTCTGATCTGTTCATTTTCTTCCACATTTTTTTTCAAAAGCAGCACTTTCCTAATTGTTTACCATCGCCATACTAATTAATGTGAAAACCAGCACCAAGTGAAAATGAAAGAAACGCTTCGACACATTTCTCTTCGCGGTCGAGCGCCCAGTGTGTAATCCTGTCTGGAACTTCTTCACTGACCTGCTTCTCCTCGGGGGGCAGCTTGCTCCACTCGTTGCCCAGCATCCTTGTAATCTCTGGAAAGGGCACGTCTGGACGCTCAGCCCGTAGCTGCTCCCGTCTGTCGTTCATGAAGCGGACGTAGCCTGTGAGGGGGGCCTTTGGCGCGTTGCTGTCCTTCATTGGCTTCTTCCTCTTCCTCCCCTTGGTCCAGCTGCCACGTCTGGGTTTCTGCAAAGATAAGAGAAACAGATATGTTTTTTGAAGGTTCAGGTAGCAGTCGCCACATGATGAGACACATGGCGAGACTTTCTTGGGAGTTTGAACTGGAAAAACTAAAAAAAAAAATGTAATTTGATATCTGCGTTCACCTCTTACCTCATCTCCATTTCTCTGGCTGTTGTTGTCGGCATTGGCTCCAGGAGAACCTGTCTGCTCTTCCATGACGGCTATGAATAGAGGGGGAATAGAAGAGATGTGAGAATGAAAAACCTCTTGTGCCAATATGGTAACAGCAACAAACCTAATTGGTACTATATAAGCTGATTAGTTGAGGTAATAGGTGCTCCACAAAGGTGGGTTAAGCATCTAGAGACTGGGTTGATCTGGGGCACAGAGGGACTGTCATCGGGAACGTTGCCCAGCCATGAAACAGACAGTAGACGGTTCCTCGTGTAGCCGTATCAACTTTTCTGCTTTTCTTACAAACTCCACCCAGTCTTGGCTCCCAACCTCCTTCTGGCCAGCCACATTTCCTCTAATAGAAATGTCTTCTTGCCATCAATCATTGTTGAGCAAGTGATTAAAAAAACACACATCAACTTCACTTCTCTGATGCTAACGCAGCCCATTTTCAACAACACGAGTCTTGTGTCATTATTCTCTCACTCTTATAGAGACGAGAACATCTCCATGCTAAAATACTGGAAAAAGATTTGTCCTTTAACTATACTTCTGCTTTCACTTAGCTCTAAACAGACTTAACGACATCAGTGTTCCAAAAACTGCTTACCAGCTTGAAATAAAGAAAATATTTTTGACACTCAAAGCAATTAAAAAATAAATAAATTGCTAAATTAATTAATTAAATTAAAGCGTGTGCTGACAGAGAGAATTTGTAGGCACACAGCCCAGGATGTGCTCAGAAATTAGGATCAATATTATGCATTTTCACCTTTGACCCCTTCTTTCTAAATCACAATGTGGGAAGTGAGCTTCTGTATCCTGGAAGTGGGTTCTGCCCCCCACCGCCACTAAATACTGTAGGAAAAGTCACAAAGGGAATTGGCCAGTCTACCACAAAAAACTCTTTTGGGAAAACCTTAACAAACAGTTAACATAAGCAGGATTTCCTTTCGGACATTTTTGTGATGCCTGAACTCAGCTCCTCAGAAACAAACAGTGACTGTGACACCTGTGAAAGTTTCATCACTGATGCTGCTGAACAAGAGGAGTCCTGTTCTCTGAAGCTCATTTGAGCAAACCTGAGAAAAAAAATAACTTGTGGGTGACGTGAACATAGAACATGCGATTAGGACTGTGAGACGCTGAGGTTTACCTATGAGGGAAGTCTTAAAAGCTGTGAAGAAAGAAACAGCATCTAAAAATCAAAAACAAGACTGATTTGCAGCATGTTGGGATAAAATGGGTTGCGTACATAAAAATAAAATAAAATAAAACCTCCCAATTTTAATTTCGAGTTTGAAAAGTCAAAGACAATGTAATGGTCACCCCCTAATGTTCTGAAACACCTCACACTTTGGTCTATTTAAATTCTATTTTTATTGTTTTCATTTACTGATTTATTTACTTATTAATTTATGTTTTGTTTTTCTTTGTTTTTCTTCCTAGTTTATTTTTTTTCAATTTTTTTTAAATGGCAAATTGTTTGTTTGAAAAAGACCAATGATAATATTGCGCACATGTTGGCACGTGAATTCTATCAATCACTAAACTGTTAAAACTGATAAAGGAAAAAAAATAAAAATCATGCAAATCTTCCTCGTGCCTTTAATGCCCTGCTGTCCAGACCTAATAAATGTCTATGCTGCAGCGCCATCTGCTGGACCAGAGCACACAATGCAGGAATCAAGGATTTCTTTCTTGATTACAGGGAGTTTAACCTGGACACATTTATTTATTTATTACACAGCCTGATGTTTCAAAGTGTCGCTGTTTACAAGATGGGCTTGTAAAACACCACAACACATATTTACACAGTATACGTCTCACCACTTAAATCACATGCCAGAGTGTACTCTTTCATGTAATTCACATTATTCGAAGCTATGAATCCCTGAATAGGCTTTACAAGGTACCCAAAGCCACCGCAGACTTACAACCCGGTCATTCCTATAATTTAGAATCTAAACAAATTACATTAAATACTACAATGGCTTGTTGTGTTCGCATTTTCCGCTCCCTTATAGTTGATATAATGTAGGCACATAACGCTTCAGGTAAGCGTCCATAAACATTAGTGTTTGGCTAATGCAAGCAAAGGCTCTGGTCAATATGTTGAAACGTCGACACAGAAGCCACTGCATGTTTAACTTCACATTTATCTTACGTCAAGTTAAATGTTGACGAGAAACATTACTGAGGCGAAAACGAAATGTACACAATCCGTAGGAGCACCTAGCAAACTGCACCGTTACTGGCTAGCGTCACAAATGTTACCTAATGCTAACGTTCACATGCAAGCTAACGTAAACTTTAACAGCTGAGGTCGATAAAAAAAACCCACCTTCGCTACCATAATCGTTCACGGCCACTACCATTAACCGTTAAAAGTGAAAACACACTGAAATTATCATTAAAAGCACATGTGAAGCACATTTGAGTGTTAAGCTAAAAGCTAGCTATGACGCTAGCTGGCGTTAGCACCCAGTTAGCAAGATGTTAGCTAGCACACGGCTGGACAACCCATTGTTTTCGTGATGATGCGATTTGAAACATCGATTAGTTAAATATTAAATATGCACACAGTAAAACTCATGCAATAGAGACTAACCTTATTTAACGTAGTCCGTAGCTGTACCTGCCCAGATTATTTTCCTAATCAAAACAATACAGCAGCCACTGAATAGAATAACACTAGATAGACAGGCTGGTGGCTAATGTTGTACAATGTTTGTTCTGCCTGTGTGGTTTATTATTTAACTTAGCAATTTATATTAGTGCTTTGTATTTGTGCTTTGTTAGATATGATTAAAAAAGAGACACATCTCATCACAACATTTATCGACTATATGGAAAATGAGAAATTTCATAATTTGACTGTTACTGAACTGTTTCTGATCCAGTTCGTCAAAGGTTCACACCGCAAACTCTGTAATATTAATGTAGACATTATTTAAAGTCCTTAAATAAATAGAAGCAAGCACAAATAGCCTCATTGATCTAGTTTCATTGCAGCAACCTACTCTACACGTTCTAGTTCTGTGGCCCCTCTTTGGTCTCCGTTTTCTTCGTGTGTTTATTACACAACAGTCCAGCGTGTTTTAAGGCGGTGCTGCCCTCTACTGGTATTACTGAGCCTTACACCTCCTCAACATTTTCAGAGTCAAGTCTCTTGATCTAAATTTCAAGCCTTATTAATCAAACATAGGAGTAGGCTGCACATCAGGGCTTGTAAAGTATTAAACGGATGAGAAGAGGAAATCTCTCTTTTGATTTTGGACTTTTTGCAGACAAAGTGTTGCTTTGAGCAGGATTGGCAAGCTTCCAGCCTTTCTGTCGTTTGTAGGGCAATCCTTAATAACTGTTAATACCTTGTTTTATTCTTTTACTTCTCCTCTTTTTGTAGGTAAGGGTGGGTTTTTAGCACCGTTACACACATACATGCACAAGACACAATCCAGGATCTGCAATAATTCTAGTGCGTGCAACCCTTGGAGACCGTGGACCTGTGTCAACAATCACATCCTCATATTGCACAAGCAATATGAGGATGTGATTGATATGAAAAATACACAATAGCCAGTGCTAGAGTCTTGTCCCTGTGGGTTAATATGGCCTGTCTAAACAGAAGATTTGGTAAAACATTACTGTCCTGCTGTGGACCATATACACAACCTTAAAACCTACACCAAGTAATGAGATATGAAAGAGAGAGAGAGAGAAGACTAATGCTCTAATTCCAAATTAACAGACTGCAAATCAACACCCAGGCGGGAGTTGCCTAACTGTAGCTGCGGTCTAATTGAAACTTTGATTGCAATCTCATTCCAATTATCCAGAGTTAATCCGACCCAGTTCTCAGGCTCATTACACACAGGTTGCGTGCATCATGCTGCCTCTTTGACTTTAGAAAATAAAGTCACAAACAAAATAAAGACATTTAGCTTGGAATGGTGCTCAAATTTCCCCTATTTTAGAGATAATCCTACCAATTTCTGGGGATATAAGAAGTGTTTTCATAGAGATTCTCTGAAAAAAAGGGTTGTCTGTATCAACACGGCATGCATGAAGATGCTCAGTCCTAATTTATAAACCATTCTCTCTGTAATTTGCAGTTGGAAAATTTCTCCCTCAACATTTTTTGATGGGGTTACAGCCAGTAGTTTATCAGCTTGGGCAAGAATTGAGTGTTTTTATGGCCTCAATAGTCTCTGAAATGTGTAACAAAGTTAAACTGTCTTGTGTGTTCTGTCAGGGGTTCTCATGACAAGTCTTGATATCATTTCCAAGAAAGCCTTTCACCTGAACTCACATCCAGTTGTTGGTAATACTGTAAGTGCTGAAAGTAATAGTGTTATAACAGCAGTTACAGGAAGAGAGTGATATTTTTCCCCAGCAGTTTAAAAAGAAGAGCAACAGCCCTTAGTAAAATGTCTTGTGGCTGCATTGCAATAAGAGGCTGCTGTCAGTGGAAAAACTGACATCTCTGGCTTTTCTCCAGTGGAATTCTCTCTGTGAAACTGCTGAACATCAGTGCAGAATAGCAAAAAAAAAAAAAAAAAAAGTCCACACCACAACCTGTCACATTCTGCTATAAACTCAATTTAAGCTCTAAATGCAACCTGACCAGAAAGGAAAGCTGCAAGAAGCTGTGGTTGCATATAAGGCTGTATTTGTTCTCATGGGGCTTTGAAACAATTACAACAGGTACACAAATAGGATAATTATGATCATTTTTGGCTGAGGTGAACCGGCAACAGCATCTGCCAATAATATGTTAATCTCTACCAGCAGCGATTTCATATTCTATCTTTCCAACAGTCATGAATTAATAAGAAGTAGCATTGCTGTGTGGAATCATGTTTGTCACTAATTGGCTGACTTGGAACACAGAAGTGATGTAGGCCAACTGTTCAGCTCCCAGCAGTAGTGTGTCTGGCTTGGTTTATTTTTTTTTTTTCTTATCGAAAGAAACCCGAAAGCATCAGTGGTCACTGCATTGTGGGCGGTAGCACAGCAAACAGTGCTTAGGAAATGGCGAGCTGGGTTCAATCAGTTCTCAAATGGAGACTTTTCAGATCCCAGCAGGCCTGCGGGGCAAAGCGTCGCAGCTGTCCCCTGTGCCGTTATCCACCTGTCACGCCACGCCGAATCATCTGGTCATAGCCTGAGAAGCCTCCTGCAGAGGAAAAGGTTTCCAGCCACTGGCCCATCTGTGGGCTGCTCGCATGTTCGTACCAGTCGGTCTGGAAAATGACAACACTGTGACACTTGCGCTGCGTGCATCGAGACCTCCTCGACCCCTCAGGATATCAAGAGTGATAGTGACACACGATGGGCCAGTGGTGCTAAAATAGATGTTAGTGGATCAGCTGTCTCAAAAATGTTGAAATAAATGTGACTTACCACTTTAAATGAAAGCACAGCACTCTTTATCACCAGTTTTATTTAAGCTGCACCCAGTGTACTCATTGTTCTTGGCAAGCAAATGAAAACAACTCCTATTTTTTGCATTAGTGTTTATCTCAGTTTATTGTACTTTCCAATTTGATTGTTTTAAAATGGTGTTCTAAAAGTACTGCTTTGCCCTGTGTAAATTGCCTTTGTATTGAAATGTCCCACAATGCAGAAAATAACATGATGCTGGAGCCCATATGGCCATTGCTCTGGTACTTCACTATCCCTGGGACACCACAGTATTAAAGAACATCTGTGTGTATGCTGGAGAGAAAATGTGATTCTTTTAGTGTGTATTTGTATCATCAGGACTCAGTAGAACCTGAACAACTTTTTTTTCCCCTACAGGGAAATTGTTTATTGCAGTTGCTCAAATATAAAAGTAAAAAATAAATAAATCAATGTATTTATTAAAATTAAATTTGAAGAAAAAAATCAGCAGAGAGATGAGTTATATAACTGGATTGCCAAGGGAATGAAGGAACTCTTGTGATGTTCAGTGGAGCATTTAGTCATTATTAGTCTCTGACTGAATGGGCTCCTCTGGCAAGCAGGAAGACTGCAGTAGAGGGTGGGAGATGTTGTCCATGATGGAGAGGAGTTTTAACAACACCCTCCTCACCCCAACTGCATGCTGATTGTCCAGCTCCACCCTCCAGGGTTGAGTCGGCCTTCTGAATACGTTTATTGAGTCTTATGCTGTCGTCCACCCTCAGGCTTTTGCCCCAGCAGACCGCAGCCTAGAAAATAGCAATGGCTCCAGCAGACTTGTAAAACATCCGCAGCGTGGTGCCTCATACAATGAAAAGAGTCTCTGAAGGAAAAACAGCCGACTTCGAACCTATCTGTTGAGAGCCACAGAGTTTATGACCCAGTCCAGGGGAACTCCTTGATATTTTCTCTCCTGTACCATCTCCACCATCGCTCCACTCACGGAGAAAGCAGAAGGAGGAGACCTGGATCTCCTGAACTCCATCACCAGCTTGTTTGTTTTGCTGATGTTGACCTGCAGATGGTTTAGGTCACACCGATCCACAAAAACGTCCACTATCCTTTGATACTCTGATACATCCTCCCCCGTGATGCATCCAACAACCGCAGAGTAATCTGGTGGCAGGTTGAACCTGAGCTCTGATGTGGGCTAAAAGGGATCCACATCAGAGTTCAGCCTCTTGTTCAGCCTCTTGTGGTGCTCCAGTACTGTAACCTACTCTGTCTGACAAACACTTCTGACATTGCATATGCTGATGACAACTGATTATATAGACAATGCAGAACACCAGATGAACATCAATCTAATGACAGTCAATTCTGTCACATATTTCCATTTTAGTTTCTTTGAGTGGTGAGTCTCACCCTTAAAGCATCTCTGTTTTCATCTGTCCAGCAGGGGTGGTCCGTGGATCGGAGGTGTCGTTGTTGCTGGGTGGCAGCTGATCAGTGTGCAGCGCCGCATGCTTCAATCCTTTGAAGAAACAGTTCAGCTCACTGGCTCTGTTGTTGGGCTGCCGTGGTTAAAACCAATGTCGGTCCACATGCCTCTCCAGACCTCCCCGGTGTCATTGTGCTGCAGTGTCTGCTCCAGCCTCTTTCTATAAGCCTCCTTTCTTTCACTGATATCCACTGACAGTTGTTTTTCAACCTTCTTTTTTGCCTCCCTGTCATTTAACCTGAATGCCTGCTTCCTTTTTGTCCTCACCTTTTGACATGAGAAAAACATCCCAGTCAGTGCCGTGAAAGCAGCCTTGCGGGGCAGCATATGTGTCCTCAGACCAGTTCTGCATAGTCTTGGTTGACACATAAGCAGGAGTCTGTCCTTGGGCTCATCGTCATCATTACCATCACTTCATCAGTCTTTGATGAATGAAGTAAACATATAACCAGACAGAACATTTAGATGCTCTTTAGATAAAAATGAACTGCAGGTTTCTTTCTCTCCCTCACAGACCCAGTGGGTTGTCGAACATAAAGAAGGAAATATTGTATAGCGATAGTGCTACCGTGGTGTGTCTACACTTGTACAAATACCAGATTCAACCACAATAAAGGTGATACTTGCACTACAGTCACACCCACAAGGCAGATAATTGGCTTCAACTCTTCAGCAACTTGCTGCATACATTTGGATATTAATGAGAATAAATTTGCTGTGGCTTCTTCATGCCCTCATGCTTTAAGAGAGGCAGTTAATATTGATACCACCATGTGTTGTTTGAAAAAAAAAAAGTGTGTCAAC